TCAATTTCGACTGTTTTTGTATTTCACCGAATATAATTGATTAGAAGTTACAATAAAAAAACTACAAATCTCTTAAGCAGGCATTATTCAAGAGCTACATCTGCCTATTGTAGTTCTTTCTTTAGGCCTTAAATGTTATATAAATTATTAATTAGACATTTATTATCATGACCAGACCATAATCAACTCGCGATGCCATTGGGCCGCTCCGATATTAAGTAGATTAGAACGGTTCGTCCATTTAATGATTAAATTTAAAAATGGAGAAGCGAGGCAAAGACTCGACTAACCATCTATTTTTGAACTATTATAGCATAAACGGCGCAGTTCTTTTTTGAATCCTTACATAATGTATCTTTAATATACATTCATGTTAAAGTCTCGGTCTTTTAGAGTTTTCTTTATTCTGGTATTTGTTGTACCGTAACTTTTGTTTCGGCATAACTTGTTTCCATGTTTTCTCGTTTTTTATAACGGCTTTGACGTTGTGTTCTCTTTTTAACTGTTGATGGAAACGAATTCTGTCTTCTTCTCAACATCGACCAACAGGTTCTTCAGTCACGGACACCAAATGATTGAGTTGTAACATAATCAGATCATCTAATAACTGTGGATTGGACTTCTTTAATTCAGCAAGACGGTAACAAACATTAAACTACACTACATGTATAACAACCAATACATATTATAATATTGTAATCTTTACGGCCATCGTCTTAATTCACGTCTGCCTCCATGGTTCTGTGTTGAGCTACTCAACTCAACTAACTGAACTGACTTCATCAGAAACCTAAACCAATTTTTAGGTGAGGTATGAAGTTACATATTGATATTGAATAAAAAGAATTATGATGACAGCTGAATACTAATAAATAAATAAATTAAAGGTCGGCGGGTTCTCCGACATGACCATTTCAATATGGCAGTAGCTTATCTTAACAATAATCATATCGATGTTAGAAACAGCGGTTAGGTCAAAAGGACGGCAGAGACTTCACCCTTTGTTACATATGTGCACAAAACCAATATTAAGTCTACTTTAATGTTCACGAGAATAGAGCCACACGCCCTTTAATTAGTACAGTAGCCCACGACAGAGCTTGAAATCAGGATTTCTTTCTACTATGGACCAAATTTGGAAAATGCCGTAGCTAAAATGAGATGCCATGGCACCACAGCATTTTTTCATATTTAATACAAATTCCAGTATTCCAGTGTCAATTATTCACGTTCTTATCATGTTTTCTTATACCATCAAATAAGATGCTTTACAATTTCGTTATAATTATAACAGAAAATGCGGATCAACGATTTGATATACAAGAAATAAAGAAATAGACTAGCTAATCTGGTGTTGTTTAATTTACCTTAGTTTAGCATCAGTGCTAATATGTGACTAATTTTAATTATAACATGGACGTCAAAAAACGTCCTTGATCAATAAAACAACAATAAAACTAAACGTTATTCTTGGTTCTGATAATTTACGATCTAAAATTTCTCACGGTGGCTAAGTGATTAAGGCGCTGGCTCGCGTGCCTGGAGGTCGCGGGTTCGCGGAGAAAGTTCATCGGGATTTTCCGGAGTGATTTCCTCTTGTCAATGGCGCAGGGCTGAAGGCCTGACCAGGGCAGTTGTCTAATCATTCGGAAAGAAACGACAAACTGATGTCCAGTGTACACGTTGGCGTGCACGTAAAAGATCCCTTGACAGTTGGGGGTCGATATGAGACTAGGCCGTAGCGCCGCTGTCTAGAAAAAAATTCCATCACAGCACACTGTATGGTGTGTGTCCGTCTTCATTAGCCCAGTCGGAGCGAGAGAGAGAGAGAGAGAGATGGGGTTTAACGTCCACTCGACACAAACTAGGTCATTTCGGGACGAACAAATGGTTCAATTTTATTTCTATAATTCGCTTGCGCGTAGGGGTCTATAGCAGTGGGAGGAAACCGGAGGACCCGGAGAAAACCTACGAGGTTAGACAGGCGACCTACTCCTTGTCACGTACAACCGGGGATTCGAAACCACCTAGTCGGAGCAGAACAGTAGGTCGTTAACCCCCATTTAATTTCATTCTCATTCCTGCTCGGGTCGTCTACTCTTTCTTGATATCCGGTACAAATTCTAACCTAACACATTTTTGTTGAACTTCTATTTGGTATTCATAACTACGAAAAATAACCTTATGGGGTTTCCACACGATTCCATAGGTAGACGGGATAAAGTAGTCTATAGTAAAATTAGATGTGTTGCAGTTTACGAGCTTAGATTCTTCTTATTATTGTATTATGAAAATGCAAGAATTTTATTCGGGGTTTCCCTTTACATGTATTTTGATATTAGTAGCTGTCCCTTTTTTGGGATATAGGAAGGATGTTGTTGTACTTTGTTGATTAGTTGTTGATATAAGATAGTAAATGTAGTCCTTTCTATGTAAACTACTAGTTGTTGTCCTTTGTTTGGTATATAAAATATTAGAATATCACTATTATTATATATATATATATACCCATTGCTTTTCTGTTTATTTCGGTGGCGGGGGGGCTATCATAAACTAGAATATGTTACAATACTTAAGTTAATTTAGAAAAAAAGCAATATGGTTCCAAACATTTTCCATTGTTACAGAAAGTTGATTCTGTCGTGTTTGATAGGTCATATGGTTCAATAAGGTTCAAATACAGAACATCTTGTTTGGGGGTAGAGACTTTTGAAAAAATGACCAGTTGACCTTTTAGAATGGACTACCCAAATCGATGTTTGGGGCCAAATTTCCCTGATAACCTACTGCATTGCGTGTACCAATCTTCAATATCCCGGTTCATGCACATAAGTAGGACGTTAAACCCCATTTCAAGCAATGGATAAATATCAAAAACAAAATCATGTTTACTGGTTAAATACCCAAATTAATTTACCCGTGATGAATTGTGTGTGCAAAAGAGTGATAATAAACTTAAAGACGAATACTCATGTTGTTTGGCAATATTTTATTCTAGTTTATCTAACTTCTAGAAAATCAAAAACATTCCTACACAGTTATCTTGTTCTGGTTTTCGAAAACTCAAACGAAATAAGATTCGTCTTTCTGCACCTTTAAACACGTTCCAAAGAAGGTTATAGACATGGGAAGATTAGTGTTGAAAGATACATAGAACTTGTCCGTATATAATAACCATGAATGAAGTATATTAGACATGATGGGATAAGGAAAGCCATATTTAAATATATTATAAACTGTTTATTCCAAGTGTTGAAGGATTGATACGTTTACAAACAGACCACTTCATCAATTTTCTATCTTTTTACCACTGGTCTGACTCCCAACACGTTTAACACTGCCCCTATCACATCGACTTTTCAATGGTTGTCGTAAAAAATAAACTTCTTAAACAGCGATAGCTATCAGTACTTGATGGATTGAAAATAAATGCTCCCTATGGAGATTATATGTAATGATACATCATTTTGTGTAGCCAATGTCGACGGAAATATACATAATATATACATATAAATGATATACAACTTGAAAACAAATGAGATAAATAAATTCGAGATCTGTTTTCTGGACGGTATAGCCGTGGTGCCTATGTGAGTAAGACGCTGGTTCATTAACCAGGAGCTGTTGCCCACGAAAGTTGCCCAGAAATTTTCAGCATGTATTGCTTTTGTAGTGGTGTAGGACGGAGGTGCCTGGTCGTTCGGATGGCACTAAAAATGAGGTCCCGTGAACACATTGGTGTGTTCGTAAAAGAACGCGTGATAGTTGGAATTCGAAATAAGAGTAGTTCCCAAAATGTCCCTCATAGCACACTGGCATACCCCCATTTCTATGAGCTCAGTCGGTGTGGAAAAGAGAGAGAGGAACAGGAAATGGGGTTTAACATCCACTCGACACAAACTAGGTCATTTCGGGACTAACATATGGTTTAATTGTAATTCAATAATTCGCTTGGGAGGAAACCGGAGGACCCGGAGAAAACCTACAAGGTTGGCCAGGCGACCCCACTCCTTGTCACGTACAGTTGACTCAATGACAGGCTTTATGATACAGCGCGCACATGCTAACCATTCAGCCATCCAAGCCCCCGTGTGGAAAAGAAGGACGCTAAAACCTATTTCATTTTGTTTTCTGGACAGTCCGAAATGCAGTCAGTAAAGTAAATTGAGTTTACTTCCAACAAGGTCTTAACTGCTGTCATCACACCCTTGCTGCTGTAGACGTTATCATGTAAAACGTGACCGTTTAACGTAGCCGACATTATGTTTGAAGGAACGATTGAAGGAATAAAATGTGATGTAACGTCCCACTCGTCTGCACCAACCGGGTTAATGAGGGAAATTCCATTAATCAAGGGTTCCTTTACGTGTACACAACTAGGCACTTTTCCTTGTTACGCATCCGTTATACACCACTGACAAGCTTACAGGGTATGGACTAGGGACTAGCACGTCAATTATCTAAACAAATGAGAGAGAGAGAGAGTGAGAGAGAGAGAGAGAGAGAGAGAGAGGGGGGGAGGGAGAGTTACGTCCACACAAACTATGGTTCAATTTTATTTCAATGCGCATAGAGGGTCTTTAGCAGTGGGAGGAAAGTTTGTAAAAATATTCCAAATAGCCGGTAAAACGTTCCGAGTGAAAACCGACAGAATCAGGCGATACATCAACATTGCCAAACTTTCAACAAAAAAAAGGAGCAATGATGGCAGAACTGTGGACCGTTTTGAAAATGATGGAGTATTTTACAGCACAGTTTGTTCTAGGATTTGTTGAGAAGCCTTTCCGTCTGTAAGAGTCTGGATCAAAATGGCGAGTTTAACGGAGTTTTGCGGAATTAACTGGACTCAATGTCATTTTATTCAGAATAATTTAATTATTCAAAAGATTCCATATTATCATTTTTCTCCGACACATTACAGTATTGTTTGTTCTCGCTGTGTTTTGGTGATCAGTTTTGTTTTACCATGTCTATTAGAATCTCAAATAAAACTGGTAAATATGAAGTGAGCGATTCCCATCAATTTAAAATATTGTTGATAGACAAGAAAAACTATTAAAACACTTATGAGCTATTTATATCAATTATGTATACATGTGTAACTATATATTTGTTTACCTCTATAACTATGTACGTTTATTTGTTTCCTCGACAGTTTATTATTCATTATGCACGTAGGCTTCTCTTATGCAATAAAACTCCCTTCTCACGAGCGAATGTGGTTGTTTAAAAAACGTTTAGATAAACATGGTTCATTTGCATAAATTCAACAGATTTCCTCATGCGCAGACTTTCTGGATTAACATTTGGACATCCCTATAGCTTCGTGTAATTATGGCATTATCTTGTGAAATTAATTTCAAACATTCAAAATGTTCCATTCTCGAGAACTTTTTGAAGAATTTAACCTTTTATAACGTTATTTATAAAAAAAAATGTCTATTAAAACTTTAAGATAGAGAAATAGACCCCGTTGATTGAATTTAATGAGAGTCGTATAAGAAACAAAGTAATTTTGTATCATAGACGGTTGATATTGATTGTTCGAGTCTAAAGTAAACCAGAATAAATGATTGTCTCTATTATCAGATTAACATGAAAGGCGGGCCGATATCACTTCATAATTATCAGTTTTCTTGTAGTAGCAGCCAATCAAATTACAGACACTTGCCTCCATGGGAATGTATTCCACGCCGTTGTTGTTGACAAGAAGTAAAGTGGTCCCATGTTGAACATGATGAGGGAATGAAATCGTCGTAATGAGAATGATCATTTCTTTATCGCTTTGAGGTTCGAGATGTTGAACTAACGTGTTATAAGATGCAACGTTTGAAGACTTCTTATTATTATTATTATTCATTTTACATTCAATTCTGATTTAGTTATAAGTGTTTACGGCTCGCATCTTGTCTCTATTGATCACTGCTATGGCTACGGACAGCAACGAAAACTCAAGAGATGTTACCGATACCGGAACAAAACAGGAGTTAAAATTCAGTATCAAAAATATATTAGGAAATCGTGAGGTTCACAATACTGGCAGCGACAAAGGGAAAGACAATAAGATAACGTATTCTAAAGAAGACATATCGATACATAGTGGTCGTGAAACACCACCTCGTGAGAAGCTTGTACCCTTTATTCCTCTAAACTATGTCCCGTTTCTCAATAGTTCTGAAAATTCCGGTATTATTCGTGTACCTACTCACAGACCACACCCAGTTTTGCCATTATGGGGAAATTATGCGGTACCGTGGCTCGATGTACGCCGAGATAGATTTGGAGGTTAGTACATTCAAATGTTATTATTTCATTTATCTATTTGTGGTAATTATTCTGATAAAATGTTTTAATCATCTTATTATTATGTTAAAATATTTTAATCATCTTAATGTCGTTAGTCATTTTGTTATTCCGATAAAATATTTTAATAATCATCTTATTATTTGGATATATTATTTATTCATCTAATTATTTTGATCAAATGTTTTTAGCATCTGATTATTTTGATCAAATGTTTTAAACATATTATTAGTCTGATCAAATGTTGTTTTCTTTTTAAAAAATCAACTTTTTATTTTCATCAAATTTCAAATAATCTTATTATTTTCATCAAATTTCAAATCATCTTATTATTTCCAATTCATGTTCAAGTTCTTTATTCCCTCGGGATAAAGACCCATGTATGTGATGGTAGAATAGGGACGAGTGTTGTGTACGTGATATCCTTACCTTTTGAAAAACTGATACAACGTCCTATTTTTCTATGAAGTCATATATCTAACAGTTTTTATTGTATTTTTCATTATCGTCATTCGCAGTTTGTGAACAATATCGCATTATTTACCGTATGATTCGAATTAAAAAGAATTCAAGATTGCTTATGTACTTGTACCAATTAATTAAAAAATCAAAATAGGTAGTTTCCCGGTTTAGATTCAGTTCGGATTAGAAAGAGGTCCATCAAAAGATTTCAGCGAAGTGTATAGGTGGCGCTGTGGTGTAATGGCCATATATCATATATATCGTCTGCAGTGGATGCACAATCTTATATTCATCAAATCTTTGTTATTAATGAACGCAATTAAACCATTTTGGACTGATATTCGTATGGAAGATTTAACTTTCACAATACTGACGTTTGGAATGTATTAAAAATCCCTTAAATGCCGGTCAGCTACTGACATACAATTCCACCTATTCAACAAACTAAATAATAGGTCTAAAACTACGATATCTTACACACGACTGGTACTGTCTATTGAAGATTGTATTATCACTTTGATATAGCTTAAATTTCTATGTCGAATTAATTGGGTTCATCTACAGTGTTCTTTCGGTGGGACAGACAATGTACGATTGAATTTATATTATCACAAAGTTTGTTTTCGATTCGCAAGTGTTGGGTGCCAAATCTGTGATTTCTTAGGTCTTCTTTTATCTGTACAATTTTAAATGTAGAAAGACGACACACAATATTAATCAACACATTAAATTTAATTAATTGAAATCTTTTCACCGGAATCAAGGGAATTTATCTAATCCATTTAATATCACGGCCGTCCGATTATCTAGAGAGCTGAATACGGGTTTGTCGTGTGCATAAATCTCTAAATAATAATTTATATATTTAAAGTTTGAAAAAAAAACCTGTAATTAGCATTAACATCTCTTTAATTAACTGTGATAACTATCACCTTGATTCTATATTTAGAATTGATAAGTTGATAATTGTAATATTTTTTACAAAATCAATCTAATCTTATTGGAAAACTTATAAAACATGATAATTAAATCTAAAGACAAACCGATAACGGCAATAAAGAAACCATTAGAAAAAAAAACCTGTAATAAACTTTTACATCTCTTTAATTAACTGTGATAACTATCACTCTGATTCTATATTTAGAATTGATAATTTGATAATTATAATATGTTTTACAAAATCCAGTTAATATTTTCGGAAAAACTTATAAAACATGATAATTAAATCTAAAGACAAACCGACAACAGCAATAAACAAATCATTTTCTAGCTGATGACCATATATTTTAATAGAATAAAAGAATCACATATTCCTTTGGCTATATTGTACGTGGCAACGAGTAGGGTCGCCTCCCACTGCTAAAGACCCCTACGCTCAAGCGAATTATGTAAATAAAATTAAAACCATATGTTAGTCCCGAAATGACCTAGTTTGTGTCGAGTGGACGTTAAATCCCATTTCTCTCTATCTCTCTCCCCTTTGGCTATAATTGAACAGAAATGAGGTTTAATGTAAAGATTTTCAACACAGACTGGACTGTTGAAGTATCGTGAAGTAAAAAGTTATATTCAATAATTTATCTTTTCGACACTTTACTTACTGACACAATATATTACTATGACTTGTAATTGTTCACATATTCTATTAAACATATATTTTGAATTCCTTATTAAGAACATTTTTCAATTATAGCTTACATAATTTACAATGATTTCTATTACATCAAATATCTATTGTGAATATATTATAATGAACATTTTTCAAATATATCATTAAATAATTACTAGATTTCAAATATATCAAACACGTACTGTGAATCAATTAATAGTAAATTATTTCAAATATATCTACAAATACACTAACAGTATTATGTACATAAAACCGATAATATAAAGCAAACTAAATGATTATGAATTATAAGGTTGGACGGGCGATACTACTCCATGCGACGTACAAGCGGGGGACAGAAACTACACCACTTCACCCAATGACAGAACATATTAGGCCAAGCGTTAGACCATTCTAGCGAGAGAGAGAGAGGGAAATTGGGTTTAACGTCCACTCGATACAAACTAGGTCATTTGGTGACTAACACATGGTTCAATTTTATTTCAATAATTCGCTTGCGCGTAGGGGTCTTTAGCAGTGGGAGGAAACCGAAGGACCTGGAGAAAACCCACGAGGCTGGTCAGGCAAATATTAGTTATCAAAACAACAGCTGATATTATAACTTGATTCTTTTCATTTTTTAAAAAAAACATTCAACAAATACATTTTAGTTGAATCAATGTCTTTAAAGATACCCTTATTAATTTTTCTTTCTCATACATAAAATCTAGTTTGTAATATCGTAATACTTTTATTTTTTGCACCAAAAAAGTGGATAAATCTATTTGAAATATAAAAACAATTTCACGGATTTCTTGAGTCAAATCGCGTGGTTTGGATTCTTAGCTTTAACTAAAATAGTAATTTTGTTCCATGTTATGTTTTTGAGTTTGTACTTGATCAGAAGTAGGATCGCCTATCAAAACTCGTTGACTTTCTCCTGGTCCCCAGCTTTTCTCCTCCCATTGCTAAAGACCTACAGACCCCTATGAGCCAGCGAATTATTGAAGTAACATTGAACCATACGTTAGTCTCGAAATGACGTAGTTTGTGTCGAGTTGACGCTAACTTCCATTTTCTCTCTTTGACTTTTCGCCTGTCCAACCTCGTGGGTTTTCTCCGGGTCCTCCGGGTCCTCCGGTTTCCTCCCACTGCTAAAGACCCCTACGCGCAAGAGAATTATTGAAATAAAATTAAACCATATGTTAGTCCCGAAATGACCTAGTTTGTGTCGAGTGGACGATAAACCCCATTTCTCTCTCTCTCTCTCTCTCTCTCCCTCTTTGACTTTTCATTACAGTCGCGTTACTGCAATTAATTTCAAGTATTTCTAAATCTTCGATATTAACATCGGGACAACGTTTCGCCCACTCCCATCGTACCATCAACACCAAAGGACGATTACATTTACAGAGAGAGAGAGAGAGAGGGGGTAACGTCCACTCGACACAAACTAGGTCATTTCAGGACTAACACATGGTTCAATTTTATTTCAGTAATTCGCTGAGTAAACCTGAGGACCCGGAGAAAAAATTACATTTACTGTTTCATAAGCATATAAATTAAAAATCAGTGCAATATTACGTGGAAATTAATTCCCCATTTTACGAAATCAATTTGAGTACAATTATTGTTTCAGTAGTAAGAAGGGTTGGTCACCCCTATCAAAACAGAACACCACCAAAGAGGAAAAAGCCGAGAACATCATTTTCACGTCTACAGATAATGGAATTGGAGAAAAGGTTTCACAGACAGAAATATTTAGCTTCAGCAGAAAGATCGAGTCTCGCCAAAACGCTAAAAATGACAGATGCTCAAGTCAAGACGTGGTTTCAGAATCGTCGTACAAAATGGAGGTAAACGATTAATAGATTGTCCTCTTTATTCAATGCTGAGCTGTCTTTGAGAGGAGAGCGTGTGTTTAGCGTCCAAATAAGTTGATAGATCGAGACTATTTTTTTTGTTTATTCATTAGTTTAACGTTCAAACTAGGTATTATTATCGGGACTATTTAGGTGTGTTTATTCATTAGTGATGGGTATTGCAAATAGTGACTTTCACGCCATTAGTGTCACCTTTTACAGTTAGGTAAACACCTAATTCGTATCACTTAAAAGTGGTATAACTCAATTGCATTATGCAAGATTTAGATAAAGAGCGGACCGTTCTTGCTATAATTGTTACAAAATAGATAATTCAGAATTAGTATACTGAAAATGTCTTTCAAATTACTTTATTCTGGGCCAAGTTTTTGACTAGATCTGGCAACTATTGTTTAAAACCACAATAATGGTACTTGTCAATCGAGACTCACAATTCTAATATATAAGATATTACCTGTTTTGTTTTTAATTTACAATTTTGTTATTTTTTTGTTTTAGGCGACAAACGGCAGAGGAAAGAGAGGCTGAACGGCAAGCTGCTAATCGTTTGATGATGAGTTTACAAGCAGAAGCCAGTAATACTCTGTATGATATGAGAGACCCTTTATGCATGAGTAACACCTCCCTCCATGCTCTACGCAACATCCAACCATGGGTTGAGGAATCCACAAGAAACTCAAGTTAAGCATCGTCACTGACGCACCCCCTTACGCTTAAACGAGCATGATTTATGAACATTCATCAATTGTTCCAAATGTATTGATTAACCACGAGTGTCATGTCTCTTCAGAGAACGGGTATTGGGGCCTCCCTATTCGTAAAATATGGTTAGACCCCAAAGGAGCTCGAAGATGTCCGGTCCTCTAAGGAACGTGTGTCATCTCTGGGTTATGGCTAATGCAAATGACTTTGAAAAATGTCGTCGCCATCCCAGGAACACCAAACAACAGGCAAGGACATCGAACATTCTAGTCGCATTTTACAAAATGAAACGATATCAGAAACTTCGTATGAACTCTGCAAAAATGGGTATAACTTTCCCTTTTGAAAATTGTTGAAATGTATAGCTGGGAGTTAACTTCCCAATTTGGGATTCTCAAACCCAATTCGTTCCAATGGACAAAAAAGCGATGACATTACTAATCTTTAAGATGTCTTACTTCCATTACAATACTATCCTGCTCATCAAAATCACTATGCACGCATGCGCAATCCCTTTATATTAGTATTTTTGCTCAATAATATAAACCTATGTTAAAACAAAATGGCTCTATACTCTTTAAAGGAGCAAAATATCTAACTCAATATTTTCCATAGTATTTTAAATTAAAAACATGAATTAGAATTCCATATTGGTCAATTTCAATCAAGATTGCTGTTGTTTTCTTGCCGCGAAAAATAAGATCCTAATATCCAATATTTAAGACACAATTAACATCTTATAATCGGTACACCGAGTCGTGTATTCAATGGTTTCTGGTGCCATTTTGTAATGAACAAATAAAAACATATCCTACAAGAAAATGTGGAAGTAATTAGTAAAAAAAATGATTAATGGACTAAGCGGGCGTAAACGACTGCCGTTCAATTTGAACTGTTCACGTATTCCGCCGAACATTCATATTGCACTAATAATGTGCTTTTAGAACCATTTTCATCTATTTTAAGGTTCCAAAAAATAGGGGGGGTTGGATGGCTGAATGGTTAGCGTGCGCGCGCTGTATCATAAAGTCTGTCATTGAGTCGACTGGCGTGGTTTCGAATCCCCGGTTGTACGTGGCAAGGAGTAGGGTCGCCTGTCCAACCTCGTGGGTTTTCTCCGGGTCCTCCGGTTTCCTCCCACTGCTAAAGACCCCTACGCGCAAGCGAATTATGTAAATAAAATTGAACCATAAGTTAGTCCCGAAATGACCTAGTTTGTGTCGAGTGGACGTTAAACCCCATTTCTCTCTCTCTCTCTCTCCAAAAAATAGAGTCATGCGCCCTTTAATGATGTTTCAATTGTCAAACAACATATTTGTAAGTAGAACATCAATGGTTTGGCATTTATTATTTTGACATTTCAGCGTGGTTTTCTCTTGTTTGTGGTGCAAGTGGGTGCGACGAAACCCCAGGGTTTTCTGTATACGTTAGAGTGCACGTAATCTTTTACAGTTGCAATTCGATAAAGTGTCTGCCCGTAGTCATTTTCCCGGTCGGCGCAGAACAATAGAACGTTCAACCCCCACCCCATTAACACGACACCTCGGCTTTTCTTGCCATACCCCCTACCTGCACCACTGACATTGTGAAACCATGCTGGACAGTTTCGGGGGACTTTGCCGGATAACAACCGGATCGAACTAAGTCTAGTTTCGTTTATAATTTATCATGTGTACTATGGAACACAAACACCGTCTTTATCTGCAGACATATAATTATATTCAGCAAAATTTGATTATTTTAATCTCATGAAATCGAAAATTTTATTTTTGAGCCAAATCCATGAGATGTTGTGATTTTATTTCGTTGATATTCTTGATATCCATGACAAACCCTTGATCTTAACATTTGAACATGGGAGATAACTCCTTTATTCTAAATATTTTAACAACCCTGTAATAAGAATACGACATTCTTCTAGGGTAATATTGCTGTAATTACTAATAATACCAACATATTGACAAACACAACCATACGAACAAAAAAAAAACAAACAAAAAAAGCGATACTTTATAATATGTATAGAAATTATCATTGTTTTGTGACGTCCTATTTGCTGCTACAACCAGGTTAATGAAGACGGGTATGGGCCATGTAATGTTCTATAAGGGAGATTTTGTCCCGAAAGCGGCGTGTCCGCCTACTCTTCGCCAAACTACAAACTTACGTGCTTTAAACTTGTACGCAGGCCCTCAGATTGACGATGTTAATGTAACTATGAACAAATCAGTATTGTAAAGTTTCTTAATTAATTCAAAGACTGTGTGACATTGAATTAAATATATTGTATATAAATAAAAACTATGTACATGTGATAAACCTCTTTGCTGTGTAATTACATTGCTAAAAAATAAATTATTATTGTTCACACTGTTTTTTTTTAATTATCTTCCTGGTAATTATAAAACAGAGGCCAACACACATAATCACACGTAAACAAAGGCAATCCAAAACCTTAATGGCCAAGACGTTGAACACGATATAAAAAAAGCACCATGTGCCAAAGTCAGTACGAAGGGCGGGCGCAAAAAGTCCACTCTTATACGTACTAAAAGAAGCAGTTGGGGGCGATGACGGGTAGGTGAAATTCATTCTACCCCCCCCCCCCCCCAGAAACCCCCATAGTTCACGACATAATAAAGCACGGTGTGCCAAAATTAATCCGAAGGACGGATGCTATTAGCCTGTACTATTATACGCATTGCACGTAAAAGAAGCAGTTGGAGTGGGAAGACCGATGGGTGAAATTTAAATGACTGATTTGGAGAATATCATGTCGTTGGATTTGGTTACCGAAATGTCTACGACAGATGGTTATATGTTTAAAATAAGTCATGTTTGTGTATCTCTCTGGTCAACTACATACAAACTTTGCAGCAAAGGCATTGTAAGTTCTTTCTCCGTCAAAAAATCTGATAAAAAGGTGGAGTCGGGCGAAGAAACCATAATTAACATTACAATAAACGGAGAAATAAATGGTGGTCTGCATCCGTTCCTTAATATACGATTACCTCCCCTCAGTTGGTTGGCCGACGAAGGTGTTTAGTAGGTTCATCGCACTTCTTTCGGTTCTTCACTTTTTCGCTCCTTATCATGGCTACTTGTAAAGGAAAGAAAACAGACCGGTTGTTAGCTACTGGAATATTCATGTTTATTAGTAGTAGGGATATCATAGTTTAGAGGTTGTCTGTGGAGGGTTGTAGGAAGAACAATTCCAGGCATACCTTTTAAGCAACTTCCATATCATACTGTGTCTGTAGTAGACAAAACACGAACTAATCACAATTCAAAATACTTAGAGAAAGAGAAATAAAATAAACCGGGAGTTAACGTCCTACTGTTCTGCTTTGACTACGGTTATGAACAGTGGCATACGCCATAAAGTGTGCTATAAGGGAACTTTTGCCAGGGCAGCGGCACTATGGCCTACTCTTATATTGAATTCCAACTGCCAAGAGGTCTTTAACCTACACGCCAATGTATACAAGTGACCGTGGTTTTTCGTCCCAACCCGACGGCTAGACAACTGTCCTTGTGAGGACCTCCGTCCTGCACTACTGACAAGGGGAATCTGCATCGGAAAAAGCCGATGAACTTTCTAGGCCAATGCAGGGATCGAACACGCGACCTCTGGGCTAATGAGCAAGCGTCTACCCACTTAGCCACATTGGCTCCAGAGAGAAAGCGAGAATAATAGGTCCTTTCGGGACTAACATATGGTTAAATTTTATTTCAATAATTTGCTTGCGCGTGGAGGTCTTTAGCAATGGGGCGGGGGAACCAAAGGACCTGGAGAAAACCCACGAGGTTGGACATATCTGAAATATTTTTTATTGGAACTCTATATTGGATTTTCAGAGTGTATTTCGTTGTTTTTAGCATTGTTGTTTCCATGCGATTTTCCACTTACTTTAATATTGATGCCTCCTCTTTGTTGGGTTTAAACAACGATTAACCCAATATTTCTAGCACTGGAAAGTAGGTGTCAAAAATACAAGTAGCTTATACTCTTTCTACTATTGGCCGTACATTTTACAATTCTATGGAATGTAATTACTGGGTGATGTTACGACTGTCATTATCATTTACTAGAGTACGACCGAAAATGTCCATAAACAAAATATCAGTTTATTTTATATTTCTTGGACTAAACATGGGTATGTCTCAAGATTAGTGAGAACATTCAAGGTATCGACTGTTAAAGATGCATTATGTAAGATTTAGATAAATAGCTGATAGTTCTCGCTATAGTAGTTTCAGAATAGAAAATCAACAAGAAATTGAAAATTTCAGTGAAATAACTGAGCGAAATTATTAGCGTTTAAAGTTTTTGGTACGAATAGCGTAGTCTCGATTTTCATTGTTAATATGGTTACCATAATAAACACAGTTTCGATTATCTATTTTTACATTAAATCATTAAAATTATTAACGACCGTGTTTCAATGGTCTAGAGGGTTTATTATGGACTTGTAAATAAATGTCTAATTAATATAACATTTGTGGCCAAACGAACGACTTTCAATAGGCAGATTTAGGTCTTAATGCATCTTTAATTAAATAAACACAGTACTACAACTATCAATAGTTCTTGAGATTTTATTCAGTGTGGGGCGCCCTAACATATGCCTACCAACAGCTTAGTCGTGTGGGTGCATACAAGTTGTTACATTTTGCGAGGATAGAGTAACTGTGCATGTGATCTTTCCACAAAGGAAACATTTAATACAAAGTTTGATAGGTTTAGCTTGTATTGCGCCCAACCGACATATATTTTAAAAAGCAGAAACAAGGCTGTGGAAATATGTAGGGATTCCTTTCAAAAACAACACATCGCAACTGAAAATAATAGTGCTTAAACTGAATCACTACTGAAAGTGATCATCAGCATGCTTTAAAGATTAAAGGAGTCAATCGTTTAACTCAGTATTGTCCACAATCTTCGACATGAAAATCACGAATTTGACCCATTTAAATAAATGT